AAAAGAGCATACAATTTATAATGTATCTGCATCTGCGAATAGAATTTTTCATAACCAATATTCGAACCTCGCTTATAGACTTTCAACAATTTTCAATAATAACGATATTTTTGGTTGTGGATTAGTTTATCCTTCAGCTAATAAAATGGATGAAGACTTTCCTTATATTTTCTTTACGCAAAACGGAAAAGTAATTGGTAAATATTTAATAAAATTTGAAGTAAATTTCCTTTACTTCTCCACTAAATTTATTCACAAAAATAAAAATAGGGACATTTATTTATCTTTTAAATTTATGATTTGGGAAGAGCTTGAATTGTTAGGGCGAATGATAGCTTTTAGGCAGGAATAAGCTGGTATATAAAGGGAGTGAATGATTAAAAAATGTTAAAATAAAAATTATTTTTACAAAAATTGTTTTTTTAGTTAAATTTATTTTTAAAAAATATTCATTTAAGGTAAGGCATTATCATTACGGAAGGATGATTTAAGCTCATATAAACCATTTATTATTCTGCACTGTTGTTCTGTTGAGGCAAATTTTGGAAGTAATTTGGAGACTAAACCTTTCAAATATGACGTTACAAAGCATCGAGTTTTGCAAGAATTTTATTGAGAAAATATTTGATTAATTTTATTTTTTGAATTTATTTTTATCAATTTACATACATAATATAAATTTTTTGCCCGCAGCCGGTTTATTTATTTGCAATTTTCTTTTTATTTGCAAATTGAAACAATTCGATTTTTGATTTTTTCCAGAAAATATTAAAGATTTGCTTATATTTAAAATATTTTTCAACAAATTTTGATATTTTATTTAAAAATTCTCTACAAAATGACTGAAGAAGGATCCTCAAATTCTGATTGTACTTTGGTTCAAAAACTTCAAAATAATCTCGACGATCTTCAAATTGAATTAAATGAAGAGAAGGAGAAGACTGTTTATCTTGAAAATGAATTAAAAGTAAAGTTTGGATTTTTTTTAAATTTTTTGAAATAATTTTAGAAAATAAACGCCGAACATGAAAAAGAATTTAAAAATTTGAAACAAAATTTTCAACAAATACTTGGTCAAAAAGATGATAAAATTAATTCTTTGGAAGAAAAAATTAAGAAGGTAGATTTAAAATGGTGGTTAATTAAATTTTTTTCCTTTCCTTTTAATATTTTCGGAAATCGTTGGGTTCTTTGTTTCGGTTTAACTTGGCAATCCTACTGTAATGGTGATTTATCTAGTATGTAGTTTGTTTTTTTTCTACCACTTATGTTAGCACTGGTAGTGCACCTTCATTTGTGTGAGCAAGGCGGAGCGAGCAATTGTTAGCATTGCAGGTTCGAATTCTGCCCGGTGGCATGGTCTGCCTCCCCCCCCCTTCCCCCAGTGCCTTTAAATTATTTGATTAAATTTTTTAAGATTTTCCAATTAAAGTTTTTAATTATAAGTTATGGAGAAAATTCTTTTTTTGTTAAATTTAAATACAAAAAATCTTTTTAAAATTAATAAAATTTGATTTATATAAAAAGGTCAGTGATTCATTTGAGAAAAAGATGGGCGATTTAATTAAATTAAATAATTTGGCTAGTGTATATGCGGTTAGTTTATAATTACTCAAAATTGATAAATAAATTTTTTAAAGAAATTTCTTGGACTTAAAAACAAATGGGTTATTAGCAACTGTTGTCGCAATGAATGTATAAATAGGGATAAACCTATTGGTAGTTGTATTGAAGGATATGGATATGTAAATTTAATTAATGATGAAAATATTAAATATTTTGTTAATAATTCGGAAGGAGGTTAATTATTGAATTTTTAACATATTTTTTTTGAAATATTCCTAGAGTATAATCAATTTGTTCAAGTTTACGCAGAAAATTCATTTAATAAACCACAAAATTGTTCAACTTATTCTTTATATTATTTTGAAATTAAATTGAAGGAAGTTCTTCTTATTTCCAAAATATTTGAAGGAATTTCGAGGAGTTGTATATCTTCTATGGTTATTGGTCTTAGAAATAATCGAACAAATCATCATACAATTTATAATGTTATTTATGATACAATTTTTCATAAACAACATTCAAGCTACCAATTTAAACTTAAAACAGCTTTCAATAATAACGATATTTTTGGTTGTGGATTAGTTTATCCTTCAACTAATAAAATGGATGAAGACTTTCCTTATATTTTCTTTACACAAAATGGAAAACAAATTGGTTAATATTTAATAAAGAATATTTTTACAAAATTTTTTTTAATTTCAAAAAATATTTAAGGTAAGGCTGTATTATTAAGGAAGGATGGTTTAAGCTCATATTACCCATTTATTGTTCTGCAATGTTGTTCTGTTGAGGCAAATTTTGGAAGTAATTTGGAGACTAAACCTTTTAAATATGACGTTACAAAACATTTAGTTATGGACGAATTTTATTGAGAAAATATTTGATTAATTTTGTTTTTTTGAATTTATTTTTATCAATTTATACAACTTATAAATTTTATCATTTGACCACAAGGGCGTATCCAGGGGGGGGGGCTAGAGCCCCCCCCCCCTCGAAATGGGGGAAAAATTAGGGGAAGGATGGTCGAAAAAGTGAAATTTTTTCGCCTACAACCCTCAAAGGGTGCCGGAATTTTCGTCTCTGGAAATTTCGTCTCCAAGACTTTTCGGAACTTTCGTCTCCAACAATTTCGGAATTTTCGTCTCCAGCGGAATATTCGTCACCAAGGAAATAATCGGAATTTTCGTCTCCGCAATTTTCGTTTCCGCTAGGAATTTTCGTCTCCAGAGAAAAACTTACCAGTTGACGGAACAACTTCCCCCGTTGACGGGGAAGTTGTCCTGACAACGGGGGAAGTTGTTCCATCAACGGGGGAAGTTGTTCCGACACTGGGGATAGTGTTCAGTCAATGGGGGAAGTTGCTCCGTCAACGGCGGAAGTTGTCCGTCAACGGGGGAAGTTGCTCCGTCAACGGGGGAAGTTGTTCCATCAACGGGGGAAGTTGTTCCGACACTGGGGATAGTGTTCAGTCAATGGGGGAAGTTGCTCCGTCAACGGCGGAAGTTGTCCGTCAATGGGGGAAGTTGCTCCGTCAACGGGGGAAGTTGTCCTGTCAACGGGTGAAGTTGTCCGTCAACGGGGGAAGTTGCTCCGTCAACTGGTAAGTTTTTCTCTGGAGACGAAAATTCCTACAGCGCTGAAAAGATTAAAATTTACGGTTAGACACGATTCCGTGCGCACGATTCCGTGCACACGTTTCCGTGCACACGATTCCGTGCACACGTTTCCGTGCAGGCACGTTTCCGTGCGGGCACGATTCCGTGCACACGTTTCCGTTATAAAAAACACGTTTCCGTGCCCAATTATTTAAATATTTTTATTTTTTTTAAATTTTTATAAAAAAATTTTAAAAGTTATATTTTTTTATCAACTTTGCTTCAGTATTTTTCTTTTCAATTCAAAAAATTTACGCGGAAAAAAGTTTTTGCCGCTGCGGAGGAAGCCGGGCATGTCGAGCGGAACGACGGCCGCCGCTTCGCTACGGTCGCCGCGAGCGTAGCGAGCACGACCGCAGCGAAGCACGGCCATCGTGTAGCGAAGACCATGCCCGGCCTACCCTCCGTAGCAGCACAAAAACAGTTTTTCCAGCGAAGATTCTATTGGTCATAGGTTAGAAGCAGGGTTCTTCTAATTTTTTTAAAATTAAAAAAAATTTTTTTGAGATTTTTTCCTCCATATCCACCAATATCCCCTTGTTGATGTCTCGATGTCATGCACAAGTCCCTTGATATTCACTGTACTCCTCGAAACCTTTTCTTATTGTTTATTATATTAAAAAGAAATTGAGCACGGAAACGTGTTTTTTATAACGGGCACGGAAACGTGTGCACGGAAACGTGTGCACGGAATCGTGTGCACGGAAACGTGTTTTTTATAACGGGCACGGAAACGTGTGCACGGAATCGTGTGCACGGAATCATACCCCACCGTAAAATTTATGTACAAAAAAATTAGCGTTAGGAACGCCAAAATTTGGCGCACACCCAATGTTAGCTCTATTATTTAGTAAATCGAAATTCCCTTTAAATTAAAATTACAATCTTTCTCTTAAACCCAACTCAAATCCCCATCCTTTATTATGCAATTATCCACTGTGGAAATTCCATTGTAGGATTGTCTCACTTTCCAGTTGGATGGCCGCCCATAGTTTTTTCTAGAGACTGATTGACCACTTGTAATAAAAAAATAAATTTATTTTTGTGTTTATTTTTTTATTTATTGGAAATTACATATTTTTTCCCAATATATTTTTATTTTTAATACAGATATTTCATCTTATTTTAATTTTTTAGCAATTTTTTATGGTTCTAATTTTATTTGCTTTATTATTTATTTCTATCCCTTCTTTTGTAAAACCTTCAAAAGAGGTTTTTGCTGAGAATCTATTTGTTAGTTCTTTGAATAATGGTGATATAATTACAATTTTTAATTTTACATTATCTTCACAAAACAATGAAGGTTTTCTTTTAATTTTTAATTTAAAGTTATAAATTTATTAGACAATTCAATTTACATGCCTTGGCTTTTTCTCCATCTTTTTGAACAATTTTCTCTAGAAAATTTTAAATTGACAATTTCTCAAGGATTTTGGCGAACGAATTTATGGGGCTATCAACATGTAAATACTGGTGTGGCTAGTGGAACTGAATTATCTGTTAAATTTTTTGACAAAACTAAAAAGTATATTTTTTAAGTAAAATTTAGAAAAATCTTTTTTAGTACATATCAAAAATGGCATGATTTTATACATTTAATTAATGGACTGTTTTGTACTTCAATTTTGGGACTTTTACCACAATTCAGTGTTCAACCAAAATTTAATGATGGTTGGTGGTATGGGTCTCTTGGAGGGGAATCTGTTTGTACTGAAAATTTACAATCGTGGAAAAGGTTACTTCCTTGTAAAAAGGTAAATTTTTTTGAATAATGAAGACTTATAATTTCTAATGCAAATTTTTTAAAGAGTGGACTTGCTTCTCTTTTGAAGCCAACATCTCTTCTATCCACTAGATTTCATTCTATTACTATAGAAATGAACAAGCTTAACAAAGATGGACATTTTGGCAATTTTCATTTAAATCTTATTTCAAAAACTGTTTATAATTATCAATCTTTTAAAGGTTTTTTTTAATTTTTTGAGAAAGAAAATTTTAATTTTAGAATTTACTCTTCAAAATTTGTTTAATTCTAAATTATTTTTGCATTGCCCTGTCTCCATTCAAAGTCAGCTTTTAATTAAAAAGGTTATTTAATTTTTAATATTTTTTATCTTTTAATTATTTTAGTCCAAATATTTTGATGTAATTCTTCCAAGTTTTGTCATCACTCAAACTTCACAAAATTCTGATTTAGTGGTTATTGACTTAAACAATAATTCGTCTTTTAATTTAAATAAATTTCGTTTTTTGGCAAAGGTTGACAATACGCAGCACTATACACATTCCCCAACAATGTAATTTTTATCAAATATTTTTTATTTATTCTTCGCTATAAATTTAATTTTTCCTACTTTTAAGTTCATTACATTCATTCTTGAAGAGTGTCAGTCAAGTTGGTGGCCGTATCTGTATTCAAATAAATAATCCATTTCAACATTCATTCAACGCTCGATTTATGCAAATGATTCCCTGGCAAATACGTGTATTTCTACATACTTTGACATTTGTTTGTTCAAATAAATCGAAAGAGTCTATGGATTTCTTTGGCGAATACACGCTTGCAAGGGATGGAGTGAGGCCTTTACTTATTGAATTGGATATTCTTTTACCGGCAAATTCCAAATGTAAAATTGAATTTGAATTCGAAGCAGCATTTTTAAAGTTTTTTATAACTTTTTTATAAAATTTTTAAAAATTTAATTTTAGAATATCTGAATTTCCTCCAGATGCTAATAGTGGTATTCATGTTCCTGGCGCTGTTCTTTCAATTTCACAGAATGATTCAACAAATTTGTCTATGTTTAGGTTATTAAAAAATTTTTAAAAATTGTTGGTTTTTAAGTTGCTTTGCTAAATTGAATTTTTTTCTTTTACCGGCAAAATTTTTTTTACTTATAGTAAAAAAATTTCTCTGAAATTATTTGAAAATTCTTAATATTGTTGAAGAAAATTATTTTTAATAAAAAAATTTTTTACGAACAATTTTTCAATTTTTTAGTACATTTACAAACAAATCAGCAAATCAAAAAATATTTGGCGAGCCGTTACTTATTCTTCTCCCTGTGCCTGATTTTAGTATGCCATTTAATGTAATTTGTTTTGTTTGTTCAACAATTGCTATTTTTTATGGAAATATATTTGCTTTGAGTACAAAATTGTAAATTAATTTAAATTAATATTTAAAATTAAAGAAAATATTTTTTAGAATGAAACTTTTCCCTAAAGAAGAAAAATTGTTAGAAAATGAACAGGAATCTACGCTAACAATTAAACAAAAAATAATTAAACGTTTTTTAAATTTATTTTCTCGTTAAAAATTTTTGATTAATTAATAAACGGGTAAACCAATTTTTTTTAATTTTTTGTTTTTTCACATTAATTTTTGTTTATATATTTTTTGGATTTATGGATGGATTCATTAAATTTATTTATTCATTAAAGCTTTTTTAAGAAGGCGTTAAGAGGCATTTTCTTTTAGAAATTAAAAATGAAGTTGAACTCTAACAAAAATGGGACGATTCGTAAAAAGACTCCGGTTTGTATTTTTTTTTTATTTTTAAGTTTTTCTTTATCTATTCAGAAGAGGGAGATTATTGATAAACTATATGTTTGTAAAAAAGAATCAAAAGAATTTTCGAGTGAATTGGAGCCTTTTCGCGTGCGAACTCGTTCAATGGTTCGTGGTCAACAAAAAGACTCAGAACGAACAAATAATGCTATCGAAAAGTAAGTCGGAAAAAATATTCTTTTTTATTGTTTATACTTATATTTAAGACATTCTAAGTCTATCCAAAATGTGCCGATTCTTCAAAAAACTCCGGTTTGTACTTTTTTACTAGTCTGAAAAATTTTGTTAATTGTAGAAAAATTTCGAGTCCATTAAAAAACCTTTACAAAGGAGGAAATCGAAGTTAATTGATCGACAATTTTATTCAAAGGACCGTTATTTAGATGATTTGGAGCCTTTTAAAATCCAAACTCGTTCAATGATTCGTGGTCAACAGAAGAACAAGGAACGAACAAATAATGCTATCGAAAAGTGAGTCGGAGAAAAAATATGCTTTTAAATTAGCTTAATTATTTAATTAGCTTTATTGTTTATACTTATATTTAAGACATTCGAACTCTAACCAAAATGTGACAATTCTTCAAAAAACTCCAGTTTGTATTTTTTATAATAATTAATCTTGTTACAAAATTATTATAGAAGAATTCGGATTGCGCTAAAAAACCTTTACAAAGGAAGAAGTCGAAGTTAATTGATCCACAATTTTATCCAGAGGACGATTATTTAGATGCTTTGGAGCCTTTTAAAATGCAAACACGTTCAATGGCTCGTGGTCAGCAGAAGAACAAGGAACAAACAAGCAATGCTGAATCGTAAGTGAGGGCAAAAATTAGATTGTGGTTTTAAAATTAACTGGTTTATAAGCATACAAAGCTCATAAATTTTATAACTACGAAATTTTTAAAAATGTTAAATTTATTTCAGACATCCTTTGGCGGCTAATGGTGAAAATTTCGACGACAATGAGGTATAAATATATTTTTTGTGATTATCTAGTATTTTTTAAATTAATTTAGTCCGCGTTCCGAGGGGCTTGGCAGCCTCCAATGCCGACTATCAATGTTGAAAATGTTATGCTTCGTTCTCAAGTGTTGAATCAAGTTTGCAACGAATTTGGATTAAAATATCATTCGTTAATGTTTGTTTTTATTTAAATAACAATTTTATTTATTTTTTTATTAATTTTAAGAGATAATATGTGTTTTATGGAAACATATTATATTTCTTCCAAAGCAACATCAACTAAGCTTACATTAATTATTGATCAAACATTTAATGGAGAAATTGTTAAATTTCAATATACTTGTAGCGAAAGTGGAAATATTTTAAACTTTCATTGGCCATTTTGCAATTTAAGTTTTGTTTGGGCATTTAGAGGAATTTGTGTAGAAGCATTTTTTCCAACAATAAGAGAACAATTTGGCCATCCACAAATTGAAGAACCAAATGATGAAGAATTTGCATGCCAAAGTGCTGAAAAGAACTTTTCAATTTTTGATGTTCACAATGAATTGAGATTGGATGAATTAGCCAATGACTTGATGCTCATTTATTTGCAAAAATTGTAAGTTAAATTTTTTGTTGTTTATGAGGGAAGGGAGGGGGGGGGGGAATGTTGAAAGACTCCTTCCTAATTTTTTTAATTAAAAATATTTTTGTTAATTCTCTTTAAATTTAGTACACCAAGAAAATACAGAAATCATTTAATTTTCAAGGAGGAAAATCCGAAGACTAATTTCCAACTACATTTTACAGAAACTAGAGATTCTATTTGTGTAACAACAAAAATATTGCGGGTAAAAAATTTTAAGAAAGTCGATGAAGAGAAATGGCCAAAATTTACGAGGGCCTATTTTCGTTATTCAGTCCTTGGAAAGGCGATGAAGACATTTTATCAAAACCCTATTGACAAACAAATCCAAAATTTTCCTTTAGAAATTTTTATATAAAAATTAACCTTTCAAAGCTTTATTATACACATATTGTTATAAAATTAAAAGTTTTATTCTTTCAACTTCAAATATTAATTGTACACTTTTATTCCATAAAAATACAAAAAATGAAAGAATAAATTTTTTAAATATTCTACTCACCCGGATATTATCACAATTAAGTCACTTTTGGCAAAATATATTTATTTATTCCTCATTATTGTTTTTGCAATCCCACAAACTTTACATTATTGTCTTTCATATTGTTAAAGCAGTTATTTAAATGAGATTTTATAAAAAATTTAAAATTTTGATCTTTTGTGGTATGATTTTTCCCTTAAATATTTCGATTGAATACTTTTAATGGCTTTGAATTTTCCACTTAAATGATTTTGTTTTTTCTAATTTTCTCAATTATTGATTTAATTTTTATTTAGATAGAATGTTTTTATAATTATTTTTATAAATTGATGTTACGTATACAATCAAGATATTTGGCAAGGGGAGTGGGCGCTTTTTTGAGGTTAGACATTTTTATTTTCTAAATAATTATTCTGTTAATTTTTTTAAGAAATGAAGCTGTTTTTCCACGACTAAATTTGTGCGGTCCTTTGTCTTTACGTTTTTCATCTACAGATAAAAAAGGATTTGACGACATACAAAGAACTGTGAAAAGACTTCGTGAAGAAGTTGAAATACAACAACTTGATGAACCGAAGGTTTTTTTGTACTAAACAGACTAAACAAATACCATAATATTTTTAGAAATCGGTTAGTAGACCTTGGCATGTGGAGACTGGCAGATGGATTGTTGACCACTTCAAGAACCCCAAAAAACTTTTGTACATAGGACCAAAACTTTGGTACCTAGTACGTGACCTTTTCGTACATACTTGGCATGGGTTGCGTCTATATTTCCTAGAAGCTTCGATTAGTTTAAAATATATGAGAAAATTGAAGCGGCGATCATTAACTCGAAGAGAAAGAAATCAGGTATTTTTAACACTCATTTTGTCAAATTTTTGGATTATTTGTTATACCCTTTTTCCGCCTCTTTAAATATTGCCTTCTTAATCAGAAAACTTTAAAAGCTTTTTACAACACTTGCTGATACTTTACGTTTGGCACCATTTATGGTATTTATAATTGTGCCATTTATGGATTTTCTTATTCCTTTTTATATCAAATTTTTCCCTCAAATGTTGCCTTCTACTTTTCATGGATTTGTTAAAGAGGTTCTTTTTAAAATTATTTTTTTAAATATTAAAAATTTTTTAGAATGAAAGTAATTTACGTCAATTTAAAGTTAAATTAAAAGCTGCAAAATTTCTTAGAAACACTTTGGATGAAATTGCAGAAATTAACGAGAAGAAAATTGAAGAGGCTTTGGATGAGAAGAAAGCTTATGAATTTTCACAATTTTTGAAAAAGGTTTTTTTAATTTTTCTACTTTTTAAAAATTAAGTTTAAAGGTTAGAGAACAAGAAGATGGTTATGTGACAAATGCTGATCTTTTTAAATTTATCAAATTATTTGAAGATGAATTGACATTGGATAATTTAAATGATTCTCAGTTACAAGCTTTATGTCGTCTTTTGGGAATAGCGAGGATTGGAACAAAAGAAATATTGCGTTTTAGACTCCAAATGAAATTAAAAGAATTGCAAGCTGATGATAGGGTAAATTAACAAAAATGGCATTTTATACACCTTCAGGGCTGTGAAATTAATTTTAATTGGAAATATGTCACACCAATAATAGAAAACTTTAAAATTTTATTTAAAAGAATCTTGGTCTCGAAAATTTCTAAACTATCATTTAGTTAATTGCTGCAGAGGGTGGCGCTGAAATGTTATCTATAAAAGAGCTACAGGCAGCAAATAAAGCAAGGGGAATGCGTGCTTATGGAGTTACTGAAAAAAGATTACAAGATCAGGTTTATTCTTTTCTTTTTAATAAATTTCATAATCTTTTAAATTTTATAGCTAAAACAATGGTTAGAATTATCTTTGGATGACAAAGTACCTCCATCACTTTTATTATTGTCTCGTGCCATGTTCTTTCCTGAAGAGCTTAATTTTACCGAAAGACTTCGTTCAATTATTGCTTCTCTTCCTGAAGAGATTGGAGAACATACAACTTTAAAATTGAAAGAACTTGAAGGAATTGATGATCCAAAAACTAAAATTGAGGTTTTGAAAAGTATTGAATTGTCTTTGAAAGAAGAAAAGCTTGAAGAAATTCAACGTGCTAAAGAAGCTGAAGCAGCTTTTGAACTTAAAGAGCAGCAAAAGAAGGCTGAAGCTGAAATTGAATTAGAAGCAAAACAACAAAAACCTTTGGAAATTCAAGAAGGAGAAGCTTCTAATGAAAGTTCTATTGAAGAGATGGATAAAAGAACTGAATTTGGGATTGAAGATGAAAAGAAAAATTTGAAGAATTTTTCTTCAATTGACAAACAAAAAGAAGAAGAAAATATTAATGATGTGATAAATAAAGAAATAAAAATGACAAGTGTTCCTGAAGTAAAAGAATGTAAAAATGGACAAAAATCTGTTTCTTTATAATACAAATTTGTTAGAAATTAAATTTATAGGTTGATAAAAATATTTAAATATTATTTTTTTTATTTAAAAAATTAATTTTGTTTTGAAAATATTTTTTTAAATTTCTTATTAGATTATTTATATTTTATTAGATTTTGACTTTCAACTAATTTTAATTTGATAAATCCAATTTTACTGATGTATCGTTCAACTCCTCATCGTAACCAGGTCTTCTAAAAATTTCAAATTTTTTTTATTTTTATCTTTAGGATCCCCTCCTTCGTCCTCCAAGGATGCCTGATCGTCCACTTACCCCTTATATGCGTTATAGTAAAAAAGTTTGGCCAGAAGTACGGGCAGAGAATCCGGACAGTCCTCTATGGGATTTTGGAAGAATAATTGGCCAACTTTGGAATAATTTACCTCCTGCTGAGAAATTGGTATATCAACAAGAATATGAAGTTGAGAAGGTTTTAATATATTAGAAATATTTTTAGTAAGCTCACCTTTTTAGTCAAAATATGAGGAGGCTGTGAAAAACTACAACGCTACTTATGCCCAATATATGGCCTCCAAAAGTCGAGTTAAAGGGTCACAACAGGACAAAGTTGGCAGTGGTGGTGTTAATTCTAACAGAAAATTAATGCCAGAAGCAAATGTTCTTTCAGGAGTATTTATTCAACCTGTGGATGATGAAGACCCATTAGAAATGGCTGGGAAGAGAATGGCTGCAATACGTTATGGTAATTGTAACAAGAGATGTTTTGTTCAAAATTTTCTTTTTTTTAGACCGAAATAATCGTTTAATGTCAGAATTATTTTCACCTAATTATATGCCTGATTCCCGAACATTTGTGCCACAACAAAAAATTGAACATTTTCGAAAGCAAAGCCAATCTTTAGAACAACATCAAAATAAATTAAATGATGAATTGGCAAAATTAGAAGAAATATTTAATCAAAGAAAGAGCGCAATAGAAGAAGTTTCAGAAGCTCATTCGGAAAATATAAAAAGATTATGTCAAGACAAACCTCATTTAGACCAAGAGAAATATAACAAAATTGCCGACGAATACGGTGAAAATTTATTGACAAGTTGGAAACTTTTTGAACAGAAACAAGCAGCAATTCAAGCTAAATTAGGTTTATCTTGAGTGAAATTTTCAAAAAATTTTTTGAATTTTTAGATGCTGATAAACGTGCTAATCCAATACTTAATGATCTAATAATTAGCAAAACACCTCCTTCTTACCAAACAAATGAAGAGAAAACTGATACTGAAAAGGAAGAGGAAAATAACGAGCAATTAATTAATAGCAATGAAGTAAATGATGAAAGTAAAATGGAATAGTGGAAAGTAATTTTAATTAATTTAAGTTGACTAAAATTTAATCTGCTAATTTAATTTTCCTTAAGACTTTAATTTTTTATTTTTATAAATTTTCAATTTTTTATTTAAAATAAATGTAAGAAAATTGACAAGGGGTTTTTGGAATAGAATGTGGTCTATATGAAAGTGGTTGATAATTTTTAAATTTATTTGGAATATGTGCTGTTTTATAGCTCCCTTGATGTAATTAAAGACAATTTATTAGAAGGGAATAATTATCACGAAACTTTAAAGTAATTATAACGAACAAGTTTTGAGAGAGTTTTGTGTTAGAGTTCTTGAAAAATTCGAATCTTTAATGTGAAATCTTCGATATAAACCTCTTCTATAGTACTAGTTCCTTGGTCTACTCATACTATTAGCTCTATAATTCTCTTTTTGTCGATTTTCTTGTTTGCTTTATTCATAATTTCGGTACAATTGATAATCAGCAACATCACTACTACATTAAATTTTGTAGTTATTAATTTATACCTTCAATTACCGTTCATTACTTCTTTTAATGTTTCCACGGCAACTTAACTATAAGTGTTTTTACCTATTGTTTTCAAAAGTTTCATTTTTTTATTTCACTTATAATTTTATTTTATCAACAATCCCATAACTAGAAATATGGAATTTGCTCGTCTAGAGGAAAATTATGTACGAAAAGCATATTCTGAATTAAATTTAGCAAATAAATATCGAGGAAAATTGTCTTTTGTTACAAATTTCCTTAAAAATTTGCCACAAAATTCTTTAATTTTGGATATTGGTATGTTTGTTTATTAATCATTTGTGGATATTTATGGTGATAATAACTGATAACTTTCCAAAAAATGAGATTTTTTTGTAAACCGATGAATGTCTAAAAAAATATTTCGATTTGGACAAAAGTAGTTTAAAAATTAAATATTTTACAAAAACTTTCGGCTGTACTATAGTATAGGTCCACCGAGATCGGAACTCATAGTATATACCATTCGATTCGTCTCGCCGAGCTGAGTTCAAATATGCAAGAATTTTCTGCGGGAGACAAAAACTCGCTGAGATACAGGCCCTCGAAAATCGAAAAAACAAAGGGGGGACCAAGCTGATTTTTGGGGTCAAAAATTCGAATAGGCGAATTATACCTCATTCGAAAGAGCTCGTCGAGCTGAGTCGAATGACACCAAAATCACCAAAATCTGACTTCATTTGACAAAGTTATAACCGTTTGTTTGAGCTCCTTACCTATGGGCTCCGTGAAGATTTTTGTTGCTGTGGAGGGAGCCAGGCATGACCTCATCATCGATGATAGGAATAGGATTAAGTTACGAGCCCAGACCCAGCGCCCGTAGACTCCCCGCGAGGCGCGTGCCGCAAAACCCCGCGCGAAGCGCGGGGTTTTGCACAAGCGCCTCGCCGACGCCCCATAGGTTTACGTTGTCATAACTTTGTTTAAAATCATTCAATCAAGCTGATTTTGGTGTCATTCGACTCAGCTCGTCGAGCCCTTTCGAATGAGGTATAATTTGCATATTCGAATTTTTTGACCCACAAAAATTTTCAAATTTCGGGGGTCTGTAACTCGGCCATATGAAGTCGGATTTCGTTGATTTTGGTGTCTTTCGACTCAGATCGAGGAGCTCTTTCGAATGAGGTATAATTTGCATATTCGAATTTTTCACCCCAAAAAACAGCTTGGTCCCCCCTATGGTTTTTCGATTTTCAATCGCCTGTATCTCTGCGAGTTTTCGCGTCCCGCAGAAAATTCTTGCATATTTGAACTCAACTCGGTGAGACGAATCGAATGGTATATACTATAGGTTCCGATCTCGGTGGACCTATACTATAGCGACCCCAAACTTTCTAAACAAAAAAGGTTGTGGTGAACATATTCATTTACGTAAAGATTGTTTTACAATTGGAATAGATATTTGTTTGCCAGTTGAAAGAAAAGAAAAATCAACAAATTCAAATTTTCTACTTTCCAATTTAATGTATTTACCTTTTAGGTAATAAAATTAAAATTTTATTTTCAAAGTTTTTTTAAATCAGAGAGGGCGTTTTCGATGCAATTCTGCTTATTTCCGTTCTTCACCATATCTCTGTTGAAGTAAGTAAAAATGGGAAAATATATCGCGAACCAAAAAAATATTCTGATTTTATAAATAATGTAGACACAATAGAAAATGCAGAAAGTTCCATAATCTAGTCGTTCCGCGACTTGTCAAGATCTTGATTTGTCTGTTTTTTGAGTTAGCCCGACTCGTGCTAAAAATATGGATGATTTTGGAAAAATTTAAGTCTAATTTAAATCAATGTATAAATGTGTAAATTAAAATTAAATTAAAATTTCGTGATATTAAAATAAAAATATTATTTCTAAAAATAATTATAAAATATTTAAAGCAAAGAAGGATAAATTGTATTAAAAAATGTTTATTAATATCCTTGCCCAAATTATCGCATATTTTAATTATTGTTTGGGCTAAAGAACAAAAACAATTTTTAGAATTTCCCTCTGCAGATGTAAGGAATTTAATATTAAATTTATTTTTAAATTAAATATGTACTAGATACTTGTTCCTTATAATTTGGAAAAACTTTGCATTAAAGGTTGAATTTAATATACATATTTGAAATATATTTTAAATTTAAAAAGGATATTTGAGAGAAATTCCTTTTAATAAATTTAATACAAAGGAACAACGAATAATTTTGGTAAGATTATAAAAATATTTAATAAAAAATAATTATTTGAGAGGGTAAATAATTTAGTAAATTTGTTAATTTCATAATTTATTTATTTTTAAAGAATTCTATACCAATTTATATTAAATCAATTGGTTATCCAAACATTAAATCTTCTAATAATTATTTTATTCAATTACTTATTTTATTTAAAGAAAGAATTAAACAAATATTTAAATTATTAAAAGAAAGATTTTTAAATATTATTAAAGAAATTGAAACAAAAACTTTTATTATCTGTAAGTTTAAATTAATTAATTATTTAATAACAGAAATAAAGTTTATTTGGGAGTTAAACAACTCCCATCCAAAAATACGAAAACCGATTTAGTCAGCAACTGTTATTAATGAGAAAACACTCTTAGAAATGAAAAATCTATTAATAAATAATAGATGGGTTGCAAAAAGAGAAAGAGAACAATACAAAAAATAGTACTATTTTCTTTTTCCTTTTAATTAACAAATATTCTGCGTGTATGTACAAAAGACCGGTGTAAAAAAGACCGGAACGGCCAAAAGGGGTTAAAAGACTGGCACGGGCAAAAAGCGGTAAAAGACTGATAATTTTACCGGATTAAAACCAAACGGGATTAATCCGGAAAAGTCCGGCTGAATCCGGTTACAACTCCGGAATCCGAATCCGGCAAATCGATGTTTGATTAATATTTTTTAAATTTATTTTGGTAAAATTCCGTCATATGTCCCGGAAACCGATTCGGACAAATGATATGTCATTCGAAAGAGCTCAACGAGCTGAGTCGAACGACACCAAAATTAGCCGGGGGACTCACCTATGGGCCGAGATATAGGTCCCCGAAAATCGAAAAACCATAGGGGGGAGTAAGCTCAATTTTGGGGTGAAAAAATCGATATTTTGAATGATAGCTCATTCGAAAGAGCTCCTCGAGCTGAGTCGAATGACACCAAAATCAAAGAAATTCGACTTGATTTGACAAAGTTATGAGCATTTGTTTTAGCTCCTTACCTATGGGATCTGTGGAGATTTTTGCTGCTACGGAGGCCCCAAATACGTCCAAAGCAAGGGAGATACGAATAGGTTTATGTTACGAGCCCAGACCCAGCGCCCGTAGACTCCCCGCGAGGCGCTTGCCGCAAAACCCCGCGCGAAGCGCGGGGTTTTGCACAAGCGCCTCGCCGACGCTCCACAGGTTTAGGTTTTTCGTTTTTTGTGTCATAACTTTGTCTAATCTTGTTCAATCACAGTGATTTTTGTGTTATTCGACTCAGCTCGTCGAGCTCTTTCGAATGAGGTATTATTTGTATAAAAAATTTTTATTCCAAAAATCGCCCCTTTGGATCTTCGATTTTTAGGGGGTCTATATCTCGATCCAATCAAGTCGGATTTCGTTGATTTTGGTGTCATTCGACTCAGCTCGACGAGCTCTTTCGAATGAGGTATAATTTGCATATTCGAATTTTTCACCCCAAAAAAGTGCTTGGTCCCCCCTTTGGTTTTTCGATTTTTCGGGACCTATATCTCGGCCCATAGGTGAGTCCCCCAGCTAATTTTGGTGTCGTTCGACTCATCTCGTTGAGCTCTTTCGAATGACATATCATTTGTCCGAATCGGTTTCCGGGACATATGACGGAATTTTTCCTTTATTTTTTTGGGAAAAATTTTCTAAAAATAATTTTATTTATTAATTGAAGTTTTTTTAATTTTTTTTTGTAAAAGGAAGGACTTATTAAACTAAAATTTTTTTAAATTTAAAGTGCGAGGTGAAAATCCTTACGAAAATAATATAACAGAAATAGACAATTTTGCTTTAAATATTACACAAAATATATTAAATGAAGCATTTATTAAATTAAAATTTTTACAGACAAATGTGCTTAGGTAATTTATTTTGTGAATATTTAAAAGGGGAAAATTTATAAGGGGTTAACAAATTTAAATTAATTTTAATTTAAAAGATATCGTTATTATCACGTTTTTCAATTTAATGAATTGGAAAGTTTATTTGAAAATATTTTATTTAATTCTGATTTCCGTTTTACAATAGAAAGAAGTGAATATGAACAAGGAAATTGGTGTATTTATATTAAAAGAAATTAATAATTGAAGGAAATTTATTTTTTTAAATTTATTTTTAATTTTAAATAAAATATAAAAATTAAATAATTTTATTTTTTTAAAATTATTTTTAAAATAAATTTAAGGAAAAAATAAAAATTAATATTTTAATTTTTTTGACATTCAAAATTTTATTTTTCTTTTTGTTGTTTTTCTTTATCAATATTTTTATTTTCTTTTATTTCCACATTATTGTTTTGTTTAATTTTTTCAATTTTTTTCTCACTACTAAATTGTAACTAAAAAATGACATTTAAAAAGGTTATTTTTAATTAATTAATTAAAAACCTTTAACCGTTCCAAAGGATTTGTTGATCTTTTAATTTTATATAGAGCTTTATTCGGTCTTTTCCATTGTTGTTGACGATTTATAGCCATAGAATCTTTAGCTTCTAACAAAGAATTGCAAAACCATTTTGTTTTATTTTTATTATTTTCTTGATGTCTAATTTCCATTTACAAAAATAATTTTTAAAAATATCTATATAATTTTATTTTTTGTTTAAAATTATTTAATAAAGAAATATTTTTTGATTAAAAATGATAAATTTCAGAAGGAATAAAAATGGATATATGAATAGGTTGTAGGAACAATTTAAAATTAAATTCTTAAATTTAATTCACAATTATATATTTAGAAATTAGGATCAGTAATTCCATTTTTTTTGTAAACATTTTGGAAAACAAAAGGAGCAATAACTATGTTTATAATGAACAAATTTTTATTATACTGAATTAACTTATTTTATATTGTTAAGATTAATTTTAATTTATGCGAGAAATAATCCAAAAATAATTTAAAAAATTAATGTTAACTTAAAAGATAGTTTAAATAAAAAATAAACAAAAAATCTAAATATAAAATCAGAAATGATTATTTTTATTTAAAAGGGAATGCTGACTAAGAAAAAATCTCAAGATTGTACCGCCCTTTAAAATAATTGTTTGAAAAAAAGGAAATAAATCATCTTTTTTTAGTGGAAGGTTGTGATTGAAAATAAGCTGACATTGTTGGCTATTGAGTTTTAAAAGTGAAATAATTTTTAAAAAATAATTTTTTATTTTTAAATATATACAAGAAATATATACAAAAATATTATAATTTTAATAAGAAATATTTTTTAGTCTCAATCTTTTTGTCCCCCTCCAGAGCTAGAACAACTAAATGTAGACATTTGACTATGACGACCGCTTTCTGTTTCATTCTTTAATTTTTTATTTAAATTCAAAAAAATAAAAATATTTTAACCGATTGAGAGAGAACTTGTGAATTTTTGCGTGATGAAAAGTCGTAAAGAAGAGACAAAGAAGGTGTATATGAATTTTGACGTTCAAGCCCTCTCAACAGATCAGGCGGCCCTCCAGAAGTTGGGGAAGGTAAATGCTCGCTAATTACAATTTCGGGAATAAAAGAACCTGAAGACCTTTGAAAAATAAGAGAGAGAAATATTTTTAAATTTCATTTTAAATAATTTGTAACTATAAAATTAAGAAAAATATGAAATTAAAGGATTTATATGAGTCCTGTCCATGTTTGGAATTTTGAAAATTGCTCGTACTCGTACTTTCGTACAGGCCTTTTTTACCTCGTACTCGTACTTGCCAATTTTTTTCTCGCACTCGTACACAGGTACGAGTGCGAATTTTGGTACAAGCTTCCAAACACTGGCCCTGTCCTGATATTAGAAAATTAATTAAATAATAATTCTGTTTATTTTTGAATTTTCTTTTGGAATTTTTAATTTTCATATTTATTTTAATTTTACAAATTAATCCTTATTTCCTCAAAAAACTTACTGTACAGAATTTGTTCGGGCAATATTTGAATTATTACAATTTAGTAAAATATGTGGAGATGATTTCCAAATTTTTGAAGTATTTCCTCTACAAAGCCAAGCAGTTACCTAATTTTTTTATTAAAAAAATAAAAACAACTACAAATTTACTTTCTTTTTTGCTTTCCTTAATCGCTTTTTCTGTCTTTGTTGTAAATCTAATTCTTCCCGAAATCTCATTGCATCGAGAAGAGTTTCCACCTTTTTAAATATTTTTTTAAATTTTAATTAAATTAATTTTAAAACTTCCACAGTAGACCAGGAACGGCGAATTGAACGAATCATTAAAAGAAGAATAACAGAAGAAAACTTTTAAAATATTTTTAATTTAAATATTTATTTTTCTAAAAAACCATTAATAAAATAGATATTGTATAAATCATTCTTCCAATATCTGAATGAAAAGCTAAGGGGGAAATGCTGTTAATATTATTGTTTTCTTCAATTTCTTCTTGTTTATTATTTTGTATTAGATTTTCTTTTCTTTAAAGTTAAATTAATTTTTAATTATTTTTTATAAATTTATTTATTTACTTTAAACAAAATTGTTCTAACTGAGAAAGGCATGAACAAACAATATTTTGTTTTATATCATTAACAACCATTTCATTCGAATTATTTAATTGTTGAACTTGAAAAGTGTTATTTATTAATTAAAGAATTATTTTTAAATTTTTAGGTATAATTTTAAATTAAATTAAGCCTTTATTTCCTTAATTTTTATTTTTTCCTACTACATAAAAATGTAGAATTTTTTTATTTTTCCCAAAAAAGTATTAAAATTTTTTACTGAAAGTAATTAATTATTTTATGATATTTTAAGATAATTAAAGAATAATTAATTAATTTAAAAAAACTTTTAACCTTTAGGAAATAAAATATTATGTAATGCCTCAGAATTATGCTGTGGAATTGTTTGGATGGATATAATTTGTTGTTTCATGGCAACAGTCTTTTTAAAATGAGAATAACGTTTTTAGTAATACATAAATATTTTTAAGTCTTTAAAGTATTAAATATAAAAGAGAATAAAGTAAATATTAAAAGTGAAATCAATTAAAAGAGGAAAAAAATTTTTAGTTAAAAAATTTTATAAAAAAATAATAAAGAATTAAGTAGATTCTACGTGTTCAAAAATAAAAGATAGGTTGATGGAATTTAAGAGCTTATGAAATAGATTTGTGGAAGTTTTTTGAATTAGGGAGTTAGTTGTCTGGGATTTTAATAAAAAAATCAGTTCATTCGAATTGTGTTTGAGCAAAATGGGATTAAGTGGTAGTATGATTGGTAATATAATAATTACCGTATTTGCTGAAATAATGTCCCTCTCTCAAATAATTACCCCCTCCCTATTAATTACCCCTTCCAGCGAGAGGTTGAAAAAATAATTACCCTCTCTCAAATAATTACCCCCAATTTTTCCTGAGCTAATTTTGAAAATATTTATTAAAAACCATTATTATTTTAATAATGGCCATTTTAAGGATCAATATAAAAAATAAATCAAGAGAATAAAAGTATTTGGAGAGAATATAGTGGAATTTACGAGAATTAAGAGATTACAAGGATTTGGGTGAGATTTTTTATTAAAATGGATCTATTGGATCTAAGATTATACACTTTAATGCTCCTATATCCCTAGAATCCTTATATCCCCGCTGCCTGAATAAATTCAATTAATTAGTTGATACCGTTGAAATACATATCAATCCCTCCAAGTCCCATTATATCTCCTTTAATATCAACCTTACATCTCCAAAAAATTCCTGAACTCTATCTAGATTACCCTTCTAATTTTTAAGCTTTTTATCCGAAGATTATAAGTATCTTTAGAGAATGTAGGATATATTCTCTAATAAATAATGTACATCTTGGGGTACATTATTTATGAAAATATTAAGGGAATATAGAATCTTGAAAATTTAATATTTATCTGCAAATTCGGTAACATATTGTATATCCCTGTTCATATGCTTATGATTAAATAAAAATTTTATAGGTCGAAAAAATAATGTCCCTCTCTCAAATAATTACCCTCTCTCTTTTAATTACCCCCTCCAGCGAGAGGTTGAAAAAATAATTACCTTGGGTAATTATTTTAGCAAATACGGTAGGTTATTGAAGTTGGATTTTTACCAGAGAGAATGTTGTGAAATAGAAGGAGGATTGATTTTAGGCGTCGATGTGATAAAGAACAAGTCGAAACAATTCTATGAGGAGTTTGTGACAGGTAATTGTTTTTAGCTTTTAATTTTTCCAGAATGCATATAAACAATTTGGAGAAATTTCTTTTGAGCATTTTCAAGAGAAAGTATATTTTTTTGTAGGTGGGGGTTGAAAATAGGGGATTTGAATTCAAGAATGGGAAGAATGTAAATTTTAAAGAGAGTTACTGGCTCCCATACAAAATACCGAATTCTTAAAATATGGAATCTCAAAATCGCGAATCGGCTAAAAAAGCTCAAAATATGGAATCTCAAAATATCGAATCTCAAAATATGGAATAGGCAAAAAAAGCTCAAAATATCGAAAAATATCGACAATGCGGCAAAGGCCAGTTGAGTCTGAACAAAGTTGTGACCAACTTCTTCGTAAAAAAATTTTAAAAATAAGAGAAAGTATTTTTCTAAGGTAAAAAAATGTGCTGATTACGAATCTCAGCTCGGATTTTGAAAAAGTCGAATCCCGGACCCGAACCGAATTTCGAATCCCGAACCGAATTTCGAGTTTCCGAATGATAGCTCATCTGAAAGAGCACGTCGAGCTGCATCGAATGATACCAAAATCAATGAAATCCGACCTGATTGGACTGAGTTACAGATCCCTGAATAATCAGAAAAAGACCTGCAGCGGCACTCAAACGGCCCTTTTCGTTTTTAAAAAATCGACATTTTTAACTACTTTTTAGCCGATTCGGTATTTTGAGCTTTTTTGGCCGATTCGCGATTTTGAGATTCGATATTTTAAGATTCCATATTTTGAGCTTTTTTGGCCGATTCCATATTTTGAGATATTTTTACCGATTCGCGATTTTGAGCTTTTTTAGCCTATTCGCGATTTTGAGAATTCGGTATTTTGTGCGGGCACGGAGTTACTAATGAGAGTGACGGATGTGAAATGGACACCCAGATTTCGGATATTTTCATTCTGTTGTGTATTTGGGATTGGTGGAGGGAATATTCATGATTTGGATTTTTAGAACCAATGTGGAGAGATTTGCATTTACTTAATGAGATTGAAGGCGCCGTTAATCACACAATAGTTTGTAAATTTACTAATAAAGTTTTGGAGTGGATCTTTTGATCGATTTTGGCCGCGCTACCTTTTCATCAATCTACCTTTTAAGCAATCGATCTTTTGTTTAGGAGCCGATATATCCACTGCACAATTGTCCGTTGTGCAATTGTCTCACTTTTCAATTGTCGTGTCACCGTTTTGAGCCTTTTATTGACATTTTTAGTTGTGTTGATAAGCAAAACTTTTATCAAAAATTTTTTTGCTTTTCTTATTTAAATGATTAAAAAATGAATTTAATTAATTCCAATGGTCAATGTTCTACTATAGTCCAAGCACTTCTTACTGACGAATATCAATTAAATATGGTAATTTTATTAAATATTCTTTTTTAAAAATATTTTCAAAAAAGGCGTATTCTTATTGGCAGCAAGGAATTCACAATAAAAGAGCTCGTTTTGAATTATTTTTTAGAAAAAATCCTTTTGAGGTTTCTTCTTAATTTTTATTTAAATTTTTTTTAATTTTAAGGGGGAATTTACAATTTTTGCTGGTTTAGAGGATTGCCTTAATTTTGTTAAAAATTTTAATTTTACAGAATCAGGTTATTTTTAAATAAAAATTTATTTTTAAAATAATTTTTAAAAAAAGATTTGGAATTTATTTCACAAAAATTGGCATATGCAGATAAAAACTTTTTTGAATATCTTCGACATTTTAATTGCGAAAATATTATTTTAATGGCAATACCTGAGGGCTCTATTGTTTTTCCTAGAATTCCTTTAATTATTGTGGAAGGACCTTTGGCTGTTTGTCAAATAATAGAGACGACTTTGCTTAATTTGGTTAATTTTGCTAGTCTTGTAACTACAAATGCTGCTAGATTTAGACTGGTTAGTTATTTAAATTTTAATTTTCGTAATGATGTGCGGACATATCGGGATTGGGGTGACAAAAATAATTTCTTGCGTGTTACGTTTGTTCTAAAACATAAAAACTATTCTTAAATAGGACAATGTACTATCCAAGACCCGTCCCGATATGTCCGCGTGCCTTTGTAATTTTTTCACAAATTCATTGGGAGATAATTTCTGACTTCTTGTCTTCCTTACAAGTTTAAAAAATTTTTTGTTTACTTTTGAAAAGCACTTTTTTAAATCAAATTGGCTCACTCACCCACACCATTAAAATTTTTTAGTTTGGTTTATGTTTGTAACTAGAAATTATATTTTTAATTTTCTAAATTCTTATTTTTGAATAGATAATTTGTTATTTTTTTTATAAATTCAGGCAGCGGGTGATCAAATTGAACTGATGGAGTTTGGATTGCGTCGAGCTCAGGGTCCAAATGGTGGATTGTCTGCATCTAAATATTGTTATATTGGAGGTTTTTCTTAATTAAATTTTTAAAATAAAATTTATTTTTTAAAGGTTTTGACAGTACCAGCAATCTTTTGGCTGGCAAACTTTTTGGAATTCCCGTTTCTGGAACAATGGCACATTCTTTTGTTACTGCATTTAAAGATGAACCTTTAAATAAATCAGAATTAATCAAAAAGGGTTCCGATGAAAAATTAGATTTACAAAAAATATCAAAATTTTATTTGGAAAAAATATTTGAAAAGGTTTGTTTAAATTTAAAAAAATAAATTAATTTTTAAATAGTTTGATTGGGGTATATCAAAAGAAGGAGTTAATATTGGCGAATTAAATGCTTTTTGTGCTTATGCTATTGCTCATCCAAATTCATTTGTAGCTCTTATTGATACTTATGACACATTGAGGTTTTTTTTCAATTTATTTAAAATTATCTACTAATGAAAATAAAAATGTTAATTTAAATCAAATCTTGGTAATATTGAACATGTCAGACCCCATTTTTTCTCACCAAGTTTCTTCCTATATATTTGCAGAATGGTCAGACTTCTTCAATTTTTCTTCCATCCAAGGCAGAATAAAAATTAATTCCTTTTGATTGTTTGTAGGGATGGAAGAAAGGAAAAAGTCTGACCATTCCGTAGATATTTAGGAAGAAACTTGGGGAGGAAGAAATGGGGTCTGTCAGCGTTAATTTTTGCATTTTTTTTGAATTTAAATAAAAATTTTTTTCAGAAGTGGTCTTTGTAACTTTATTGCAGTAACATTGGCTCTTAATGATTTTGGATATAAATCGATTGGTTGTCGAATAGATAGTGGGGACTTGGCTTATTTATCTAATGAAATTAGAAATAGATTTAAATTAATTGCTTTAAGGTTAGAAAAATTTTTTTGAAATTAATTAATGAGGATATGGGATTTAGATAAGATTATGTACTTCTTTTCTTTATCCGGAGTTGGATACCACAAAATCTTCCAAAAAATTTTAAATTGGAGCTATTCTAAGGTTTGAAAGTGAAAATTTTAAAATTTTTAGAATTTCGACTAAAATGACACAATTTAATTCATTCCAAAATGTCATTATCCTCACCAATAGAATAGTAGGATAGTCAGGGATAGGGTTGTCGGTTCTTGGAAAATTTTCGGACATCCGGAGCCAAACCGATATTTGAACCGAAAGATATCCGGTTCGGTCCAGAACCGACAACATTAGTCAGAAAATTTGTTTGATTTTGCTAAATATTTTTATATTTCTGTTTTAGTAGTTTTTAAAAGTTTAAAAATTTTTAGTTTTAAAATTGACTGGATAACTAATTTAAAAATTGTAGCATCAAATGATATAAACGAAGAAACAATCCGTTCACTTTATAATCAAGGACATAAAATTAACACTTTTGGTATCGGCACACATTTAGTTACTTGTCAAAAACAGCCGGCACTTGGATGTGTTTATAAATTGGTTGATTTAGATGGAGAACCGAAAATTAAAATAAGTGAAGATATTTCAAAGATGACAATACCTGGACGTAAAAGTGTATTTCGTTTGTATGGAAAGGCTGGTAAATAATTTTGAAATTTAAATATTTAATGATGTTTTATAAAATAATTATTCAATTCCATTAATTCCTTTCTAATGTAAGTCGCGATGTTCGTAAAATTCTTAAAAATGAGGTTGAATTTTGTGATAAAAGATTTCTTGCAAAGTTTCGACTTTGTTTTTTAAATAAAAAATGGGGTACAGCCCAAATCAACGCGCGGCCATAACAACGCAAAGCCATAACTGGCTGGAAAACTTTTGGTCCTTATCAAATTTGGTACCAGTCTCTTTAGCTCGTTGAGAGGAAATGTTTAATATCAAAATTGTTAAAATTCGGAAATTTTGAAGTAAGTTACGGCTTTGCGTTGTTATGGCCGCACGTTGTTTTGGGCGTGTCCCTAAAAAATGGAAACATTCCCTTGCTAAATTTTAAAAGGGATTCAATTAATGAGGTATATTACATACTAGTTTTTATCGGCAATTAGATTAACTAAATTTTTAATTATTTTAGAAAAAGTCGAAAGAAAATATAAGTAATTCAAGAAACTTAGGCTTTTTCAAATAAAAAATTAAAACGTTTTAAGTCATAAACCAAATAAGAACTAAATTTATAAATTTTTTCATAGTTTTTTTTTGCATTTTCTTTTTATTTATCTAATAATAAGTTTCATATGTTTTACTCTTAATTTAATAAAAAATATTTTAAGGATTTCCATTGGTTGATTTAATGATATTAGAAAATGATGAAGAACCTAAAGTTGGTCAAGTAAAACTTTGTATACATCCATGCAACCCTGTTAGACGTGCAAATATTATTCCACACAGAGTTGAAAGACTTCATAAAATTGTAAAAATTAATTTTTTTTTCAAATTATTAATTATTTTTAAAGTATTGGAAAGACAATTCTGTTCAACAAATTTTACCAAATATAAAAGAAATACGTGAATATACTCACCAATCATTAGTTAATTCACGTCCAGATCATCTTAGACCATTAAATCCAACACCTTATAAAGTATCTTTTAAATAAATTTTTAATAAATTTATTTTTAGGTTTCATTATCTAAAGAATTATTTGATTTTATTAACAATATTTGGCTTAAATTGGCTCCCGTTGGTCTATTACAGTAAAATTGACTGAATACTTAAAATCTACTTATTTAATTTTTCAATTTTAAATAATATTCACTTAATTAAAATACTTAATATTCCTACTAAAATTTAGGGTTGTTTTTCCTAAAATAATTATTTTTACGATCTTTTGGATTTTATTTTTGAAATTAAATATTTTTGGATTTTTACAAATCTGGGATCACAACCCTATTATAAATTATCTCCTTTTTTACAACCAGTATATTTTACAATAGAAACAATGTAGTATTTTTATTTTGATAAAAATAAAAAAGTATAGTTTCTACCTTTTTCATGTAACTATTTAATATCATGGAAAAATTTGCTTAGTTTTTAGTCATAAAATCAAAGTAATCTTAGGATTAAAACTTTGATTAATAAAGGTTGCTTTTAATAGCCAGTTGCCATTATGTGATGGATATTTTGATGGAACCTTTTGCTCCCCGTTTTTTTATTTTTACTGAGCCACTAGTTATGGGGGTTAGTCCAGCTATTCTTATCCTAATTCGCCACACCATCCTCCCTCATTTCTCGGCTACCCCTTAACTGCTGCTCATTCCTTTCAACCGCTCAGCTAGCGCACCTCCAACCACCTTCACTCATTCTTCAACTCGTCCGCTTTCATATTCCCCGCTTTCCTCCACTTTCCTCTCACTTGTCAGTCTTTTTATTTCATAGTTCCGTCATCGCTATTTTGCCCCTTCAAACCAGCCCAGAGCACCCCACCCGCTGCTCATTCTCCCACCGCCACCCTTCCCCTCCCCACCTAGTACTAGCCTCTTTTTCGACGTTGTTCCTCTATAACCACCCGTCCCCTTATCGATTTGGACCCCACCAGAGGCTCAACCCGAAGGGAAAGAATTGCCTAGGTTTTCATCAATATAATCTCATAATTGTCTTAACTTTAAATTGAGGAGAATTTATTCACGCACACTTTGAAACTAAAAAGTTTTTGTTTTTTGAGAGACAGCAATTAGCAGTTCAAAATATCTTACCCATATTTTTTAGTAGCATTTGTGGTTGGTAGTTAAGGTGGCGCAAAAATAGGGTGTCTTTTTTGCTTACCCCTCCATCTGTCAATTCTCCCACATATCCCTGCCACCCACCCTTCTCTTTTCATCTCTTTTATTCTTCTCCGACCTCATCACATTGAGTTTCCCTTCACAATGCCTCCTCCAATCCACAATTCTTATCCACCAACATTTCCCATAGCCCGCTCTTCAATCCTTTCCCCACATCCTTTTCGTCAAGCTCATATACCCGCGCTTTTTTACACCCAGGGCCGATATGTATCGATCCCTCTTTTTTACCCCACCTCCGCTTTTCATACCCCTTCCCATCACACAGCAGTTTAGCTTTCAACCCTCCTTCACTTCTCACGTTAAGTATTTTTAGTTTTCTATTTTCTTTCACTCATCCTAATAAGAGATTTATAAAATCCCCTAATTATATATCCACTATATATTAATTTCCTTATTTTTTGAGTAATTAAAAGGAATGAATAAATTATTTGATCAACAAAAACAACCGCCAGAATTAAATTTAATTAATGGATTTGAAGGGGAAGAAACAAAAGAATTTAACAACCTTAGTGATATTGAACAAAATAAAGTACAAATGGAGGCGGTGGCAGCAGCAGCGGCATTTCTCCTTTCTTTCCCCAGTGAAAATCCAACAAATAGTAAAATTAGTCAAATAAACGGAAAAGAGGAAAAACAAAACAATTCTTTTAAAACAATAATTAGGCATCCACCTTTACAACCAATATCACAAAAGGGAAATAGGTGGATTCATTTGGGTACTTTCGAGACTGAAGAGGAAATGCATCGTGTTCGAAATAAAGAAAAAGTATGTAAATTACATTGAGAGAAAATTGAAAATGCCTTTCTACATACATATAAAAAATAAATTTTTATAGGTATCCAAGAGGCGGACAGAACAACTTAAAAATGGTGTTAAAGTGAGTGGATAATAAATATATTTTGTAGTTAAAAAGCATTGTTAAGTATATATGTTAAGAATAATTGTGAAAGTCTGAAGTCCCAGATTTTTTGATTAAATTTGGGCTAATAAAGTTTCGAGAAATTAAAAAAATTTTGATGACTTAGTACGAATTAGTTGTGATTTATATATTTAAAAATAATTTTTTAAAGATAAGATATAGATGTAATACTTGGAAAAGAACTAAATGTGCCTTTCAAATGTTTAGCTTTTTTAATCCTAGTGATGGATTAATTGATCTATATGAATGTGGAGAGCATGACCATTCGGGGAGGTAAATTGTGTTGTAAAATAAATTTAATAGATTAAAATTTAATAAAGACATAAAGAAAAGATATTTTAGTCATTAATATTTTCTAATTTAAATTTAAATAATTTTCAAAAAAAATTTTCAGAAGAAAATTGGAATATGAATTGTATGGCCCAATTAGAAACAGAAATTCAGCAACAAATTTACCAATCCCAAAAGAATTTATTAATTTAAATTTAAATAAATTAAATAAACCAAAAAAATCTAAAAATGAAAATATTTCAACAAAAACAATGTCCTTTCCTTTATTTAATTTATTTAATGATATTGAAAAGACTAAACAACTTTTTAATTTATGTGAAGATTTTGGAATGAAATTATTCCAAGAAAGGTAAAAATTAATTAATTTTGGTTCAAATCTAGACATATGTATTTTGAGATAAAAAATAGGAAAACCTTAGATTGAACCTTAAATTCCCTTGATATTTTGTGGGTGAGGTTTGGGAATGAGGCTTACCTGTTTATTAGCCTTTTTTAAATCTCCACAAAATTATTTTATTTTTTACTTCCTAAAATAAACTTTTTTAGTGAAAATAAATTTTCTATTCAAAAAACTGACAAAAATGGAAATAAAAGAATTATTTTGACAATTGAAGAATTGCAAAATGAATGTAAAATAATTACAAAAGAAAATACAGAAAAATGGGTAAAAGTTGATTGGGAACAATTTAAATGGGCATTGAGGGGAAAACTTTCTTTTATTTTATAAAAATAAATTAATTAAATAAATTTTTAAATTATTTTTTTTTGGTAAACAGAAAAAAGGATTTTAATTGCTAATTTATTTTTATTTTTTATTTCACATCTTTTCTCTAGCAAAAAATTTTTAAATGTTATATAGAATGTTTAGAAAATTATAAATAATATTTTTTGTTATTTTAATATTCGCCTTTTTAATTAAAAAATATTTTTTAAGAATTTTTATGTTTTTAAAACCATCTTTTAAATTAGAGTAGCACCCTGAGCCTTCGGGGGCGGGATCATCGGGGATCGGGACCGAGAGTAGAGCCTTCGGGGTTCGGGTCGGGGTTTCTGACTAAAAATCCGTCGGGTCGGGGTTTCAGGGAACGGGGTCTACCCTATTTTTAATTAAGAAAAAGCTTTAGTATATTATACTTTAACTTAAAACTGTCTTGCACCAATAATGCCATTCAATTACCTATCCAATTAATAAAAAAACAATTAAAATTATTAATTAATATTTATTTCTTTTACACCTGTAAATATCATCACATGATAATATATAAATATATTTTACATATGTATACTAAGCAAAAAAATGAAAAAAATACAACAATTAGAAAAATGTACTCCTCCTTTTCTTTCATTATTTTCTAATTACTAGAAGGGGTTATATTTGAGATCAAAACAATGCTTTTTCACACATCTTCTTTTTTTCTTCTTTAAATTTATTTCATTGCCAAAAAATATTTTAAAGATGATCTTTTATTTCTATCAGAATTTCTTCTACTATTGTTATCCCCAATTGGTTTAAATAAACGTAGACATTTTTTGAAATGATTACTTCTAAAACAATCAGACCTTTAAATAAAAAAATTATTTTTATAAATAATTTTTAATTTTTCCACCTGCATTCTGCTCTCGTGTTTGGCAGTTGATGACTAAACATATCATGACAAAGCTCGCAAATTCTGTCCATTAATACTGGAAAAATAAATTAATATTGTTAAGTATATTAAGGGAAAGAATATTTTGTCTTCTTAAAAATTCCAGAGATTTTCATTTTTAAGCATTGGAAAAAGATTAAATGTTAAGACATTCATCTTAAAAGTGCACCCCTATATAGTCTAGAGTATCCAAAAATAATGTCCACATGATTAAAGGTACTTACTAGCCATCTCTTGGTATACTTATTTATAAAACACTATTAAATTTTATTTTATTTTTAAATATTCTAACCATGTAATTGATCATTATCATAAACATTACAACTCGAAGTGATATCATTTTTAATTAATTGTTCCTGACTATTTATTGTTAAATCGTTTCGTCGATTTCTTTCAAAAAGAAAAATGTTGTTTTCATCAGAAAAGAGTGTTCGAGATTCTGTGCCAAACAAAACGATTATGCTGACAATTAAAATTCGGAAATAAAAAATAGAAGAAATATTATTAATATTAAAATTATTAGTAGTAGAATGCATTGAAGGAGAAAATATATTTTTAAAACTTTTAATTTTATATCTATAAATATTAATAACTTTATATTTTGTTTGATTCTAATAGCGTGTCTCAATTTAAAAAGTGATGACGTGAATTATCGTTATTTAGGGTGTTACATAAGTTCTGTCGGTTTAGCATGTTTTTCGACGAATACTTTATGGATATGCATGTTCTATATACCAATCGAAAGCTTAATTCGTATCTCGTTTGGCATTTTTCAGCGTTTTTTTAATTTAAAATTTCTGAGATATACAAGGGTAAATAGGATATGGTCGGATATTACATAGAAAATGAGGTTATTTTTTAGTACTGCATTTTGTGTTTTAAATTTTTTGTTAAATCATAACTTGATAATAAATTACGGAATTTTCTATAAAAATACATATTTATTTAAATAGAGCTTACTGTAAATTTAAATACCTACATAATTTTTATTTATTTTTAAAATTAATTTTCTTTCCAATTTGAGAATAAAATTTTAAACAAAAAGTTTTAAAAAAATAAAATATGGTTCTATTAAAATATTAATGAAATAAATGCCGACAAGCAAATAAAGTTTAGAGTGCCGTGCCCTTTTACTTACTTTGAGTATTTATATATATTAAATTAGGGCTAATTGACTGGTAATAATTGATAAATTAGTTTTAAAAAGAAAAAAAACAGAAAAAGGGAAAGGGGAAAAAGGCTATAGGTAATCATCGGAAGTCCCCCATTTTCCTCCAATTTTTTTCATTTAATATAATTTTGTTCATTAAAACATCTGGCATCAATAACCAATTTAATAATAAAAGAAAAACAAAGAGAAGAGGAGAATGATGTCAAAATATTTAAAAAACATTTCCAAAATGCAAATGTGTGGCGGTAATTTAACTAAATTAACAATAAAAAGGGCGAAGAATTATGAAGTAGAGAGGAAAGAAGTAAAAAAGTAACTAGTAAAGTTGACAAACGTTTAAAAAATTTATTGAAAATATGACATCATTTTATTTTGTTTTTTTAAATATAAGAGGATAATTTTGAAGGATTTTTGAATTCATTGAGCCTATATTAATTAATACTACCTATACTGGGCTTTTTGAAATAATTCGCTTTAAGATAAATAAGAATAGGTAATTAATATTTTTTATTTATTCAAAATTCATTAAGAAAAATAAACAGTAATAGGAATTATATTGGACTGCATTTTTACCCTTCTACAAGTTTTTGTTAAAGTTTTTGCTTAAAATAAATAAAAGTTAAAAAAAAAATAATTTTGTCAAAATGGGCAGCTGAAAATAATTGTAAATAAATAAATAAATTTTATTTTTTGTTCAAACAATTAAAGAGAAGTTGGCACTTTTAAATGTGGAAAAAAATCTTGAGGTTGCAGATGTTCTGAACGGAAATTAATATATTTTTGTTTGTACAATCTGCGTCATTCAATTTAGCGGGAAAAGATTAATTTAAGAATATATTTTTTAGTAAAAACAAAAATTTTACTAAGAAAAAATAACAAAAAAGAGCATTTTAAAAATTAAAAAAATCTCAACGTAATTTTTTAAAAAAAATTATTAATTGTTGGAGAAAAGATTTATTATTATACTCTTTATATGATTAATATAATTCGCATTTTATATCCGTAACAGCGCCGAAAAAGGTTTAGTCTTTCATCAAAAGAAACAAGTGGAGGAAAAAAAAAGAAATGAAAAATGTTCAAAGAATTTAAAGAATCACACACATCCAAATATGCCCGCAAATATTTTTAATAATTCTGCAACAAGTATGTGGATATTTAGGTGGTAAAAGGGGAGAGGATTTAAAGAATGTATGGAATGTTGCCAAAATAAATTAAATTGGAAAATGAATTTTAAATTTGTGTTAAATAAATAAATTATTTATAAATTTTTTTGAATTTATTTAAGCAATTAAAAAATAGTTGAAGGTTCGACCTTAACTAAAACCACAAAACCAAATATATTTGGGAGTTAATCTAACTCCAATCCAAAAATTAAAAGGCGACAAATTAATGGAATACGTTCTAGAAATTTTTATTCGCAGAAATGAAAAATTTATTAATAAATAAAAGATGAGTTGTAAAATGTGAAAGAGAACAATACAAATAAATAGTACTATTTTCTTTTTAATTAACAAATATGTATCCTGTTCACTTCTTTTTCTTTTTTAACCTGCATTGCTGACAACCAGAGCTGTTTCGAAATTTCGATTTCTGAGGTTTTTTCTCCCGATTTTCGAATTTTTGAAAAAATTTGAATCGAAATTCTGGAAATTTTCGAGATTTCCAAATATCAAAATAATATTTTGATATTTGAAAAAAAATTTTCCACTTCCTGAAATCCATTCTATAGATGGATTACATCATATAGATGAATAAATCCCTTTTGAGACAATTTTTTTGAATATTTGAATGTAAGGATGATTCACCTAGCAGCATTTAAAACGCTTAGGCGGGCAACAAACAACAACTAGCAGGTGGTTGCAGGTTCGAATCCTGCCCGATGGCTAAACTTTTGCAAACTCTTTCTTGAATATAGTACTGCTGCATCCCTCCTAATCAAATAAACAAACTAAAAATAAATGATGTATTCACGTGCATTCACAGGCACAAATATTTTGACCTTTTCCTATATTAAAAGGAATCCCGACCGTTATCAGAGTTTATCACAATTCCCGACCCTTATATTATTATTTGTTATTCACTTGTTTACCCCAATCTTGACCTGTTAATGTCCCCTATAAATACTCATCCAAAATGGTCATTCATCTTATCTTAATATCTAATTAGAAGTGTTTATGTGAGTTCTGGCCAGACTCTTGTAATTGTCCCCTTTCCCTCTTTTCGCTATGTATATATTTTTATTTGTAAATAGTTAAATGTAAATAAATAATTTAAAGAATATAATTTGAATAATCCTCGAAAGGCTTCGGAACCCAATCCCAACATTTGGTGCCACTTGTCCCGGGCAAGCCTTGTCGAGAGAAAATGCGCAAGAAATGAAAGCACATAAAAAAAAACGGAATTCCAGTAAAGTCGAAATTAGAAATAATTAAATGTGCTAAAATAAAATAAAGTGATTAAGAAATCCTCAAAAATTGAGAGCTCGAGCTTAAACTCCTTAAATGGTCTAATTGTAAGAATTTTGCAAAAAAAAAATGGAATTTTTTTAAGAAATGAGAAAAATTTTCTCAAATTAAGAGTCTCTTCTGCAGCCTAAAAAATTAAAAGAATATTGAAATAAAAATTAGGAAAATGGAAGATAAAGTTGAATAAGTCAAAAACGAACGATAAAAGCCTAAAGAAAATAAAATTTAAAAATAAAGTTGAGCTAGAAGAATGACATGAAATCGCTTGATAAAAATTAAAAGAGATTGGTTAAAAATTATTAGTAAACCGTTTGTTTTAAATCAAAAATAAGAGAAACAATGTAGCGCCGCAGTATTTAAAAATACTCTTTGCTACCTCTGCATATCTCTTATCTAACGTAAATAAAAAGATATAATAATGAAGGCAGGTGAAGCTGGGTGCACACTCTGTCGGCTTAGTGCCAAGTACTTAATATAATGAAGAAAATCTGTACAGTAATGAAATGAATCAAGGCGGGTGCAGCTAGGTGCACACTCCGTCGGCTAGGTGCCCTGAAAAGGATATTAAGCGGGTAAAGCTGGGTGCATACGCCGCAGGCTTAAAGAGCCAAATACTCCTTGAGATAGTAGAAATATGTATCTCGAAATAAATTTTGTGAATATTGTATTGGTAATAGATTTAAAACAACTAAAACTAAAAAAAAAATATACTATTTGTGAAAATTTGTGTGAAAAAAAAATTTTTTTTTCAAGCGCAGAAATTTTATTAAAAAAAATGATCAGAATGAATATAAATTTTCTTAGGCTCAATACAACGAAAACAATTGCGCAAAAATGAGAAAAAAAAAGGCATGCAAAATAATTTAAAAAAAAAGTATAGTATGAAATTGAGTAAAACAAGAAAGTATTTTTTCAAATAAACGTGTTAAAATGTTTTGTCAGTTAAACTCATCCTGCAACTAAAAACAGAGGCTATTATATAAAACAAAAGCAAAAAAAAAAATCCCTATTTAGAATTGAAAAAAAAATATAGGCCGCTCACTTAATGAAAAGACAGAATCAGAAAAAAAATAAAATAACCTTACAAAAGATAAAACAGAGAGATAAAAGAGATCAAACAGAGAATATGTATTTTTGAAAAATGAAAACCTGCTTAAAATAATAAAAAGCAAAAGAATAAAACCGTCAAAACCTACGTTTAGAAAACGTAAGACTCACGAGTATTGATACAATATTGTACTTAAATATTGTAAAACGTAGATATTGTAAAACGATGTTATAGATAAAATCTAAAAGGTTATTAGAATAATTAACTTAGCAGTTCAAAACAAGTCATTATCGCAAAAAGACCACTCACTAATGCAGAGAATGTGATAATCAAACAGCTAAAATAAAATAATACTCATAAATGCAGAGAAATGGTATTTTAAATTGAGATTTAACATAAATTTTTTTGATATGAGAGAATTTTAATAAATGAGCAATACCACAAATAACTATTGTTGCTAACTTGACAAATCAATGTGAATTCTATTAGATAAAGGAGCCCACATATTATTGTTAGGTAAAAGGATGGCATAAAACTTAAAAATTAATAAAATTCAACCCCCTGAAATATACGGCATAGTAGAGATTGGAGAGAGAATAGTACCTACTATAGGAAAAGTAGAGATTAAATTTAAAACCGCTGCTTCCGAGAAGAAAAAAGCACAAAACTCCCGCTTTATCTGATTTCAAAAAAAAACACAATTAATTAATAATGCAGGACAAAAAGAAATCTTACTATGGAAGAGCGAGAAAAATTAGAAATAGAACATGAAAAAAGGCGAGTGTAGTAAAAAAAAATGAAAATGACAATTTTTACATTATAAATTGCTCCGACAATTTAAACAAACATTGA